TCGTACCTTTGATGTACACGCGTACAAAGAATTTGCCTTAGAAGTTTGGTCTTTCACCATAATTTTGAATTTCAATTTACATACCACGCTTTCGAAACTCACAAATTTCTCAATAGACTTGGTTCCTTCCTCGCACCCTAATTCTAACCCAGTTTCCTCTGCTTCTTCCTCGAGACGAATTTTCCCTTCTTCTTTGTCCTCCGGATTCGTTACATCAACAACCCGTGGAACTCTTGAGTTTATAGGAGTTCCATCGGTCGAAATCGATGCTTTCTTTGTACGCGCTATTTCTAGGTCAAAATCGACAAATCAGACAAATTTAATCCAACCAATTACTACGAAATCTCCTCCAAATCGAAAAGAAAGACAGAATTTGAATATACCTTTCCCCCAAATCGTAAGTTGGTCATCCCTAGTTGTACGATTTTATAGGAAATTTGCCTTAGAAGTTTTGAAATCTTATTGAAACGATGAAGGAGAAACGTCGTGGGTGGTTTAAATTTTTTTAAATCCAATTTACCCGGAATGTATAGAATCCTGGATGAATATAACTGGTTGGGTCAGTGAATAAATCGATTTTGTCGGATTCTTGTGTCATTTTGTCGAATTCTTGTGTCATTTTCCTCAATTTTAAATTAATAAAAATAGAAAATAATTTTTTATTATAACAAGAGCATTGGTGAGTTCACTTTGGCTTTAAGGGGCACGAAAGAATTTGATTCAGTTTTGGATCATATTCTAAAATGCCCTTCAAAGTACACAAACTTTTTTTTTATCTTTGGCATTGTTGATTTTTTTTTTATATTCAAAACATACAAAAGTTTACATAATGCAATTAAAATCATAATAATTACGGATCCAATCACTTATTATCCTCTCAGACTGACTCGCTCTAATTAAATCGGATTAAAACCATCCACGACCTTTCTTTTTGCCTCTAAAACTCTTTGTCGATTCAAAAAAAAATTCCAAACCAAATAAAAAAAAAGCCAGAAGAAAAACATAAGGTTTCAGACAAACATGAAGAGCAAAATGGTTTAGAAGAAGTA